CCGTTCAAGTTCTTCACCATCCTTGTTTCTCACTAATACTTCACTAATAAGAACTCTCTCCTCATTCCCACTCCCTGTTTTCGGGCCCGACAACGGAGTCCCATCCAAGTTGCTCTGAGCTAATGCTATTGATGCACAGCAAAGAAGAGGAGTATTTGATAAACTCCATGAGAATGGGTTAATGTTTCTGGGTTTACTTAGAAATTGCAGAATAGCATTTTGTGGGTTGAACTTTTGATGAAATGGGTGTGTGAATTTGGATAAATTTTGTGAAATTCCACCATTTCGATGAAAAGGGTGTTGGAACTTGGGAAAATTTTGCAGAATTAAGTGTAGATTGGTGAAGAATGGGTTTAGGGTATGGTGGTGTAGAGTAAGGGGAGTGAATTGAGGAAGTTTGATAGAAGATGAAGTGAAGCGTACGTCTTCGTTTTGGTGCATAGTTGAATGTTCCACTAGGGTTTTAGGGTTTGAAGAAGAGAGTGATGCTTGCACTCCCTAACATGAAATTATTTTGGTTGAAAAGCATTTCTTCCTTCCTTTCTTCTTCTGTTAACTTTCACTAGGAAGTTTTCACCACCTTCTTTTCTTTTTCTTTTAAGTATATATATTTTTTTTAACGGCTTTCGAATTTACAATCTCAAAATTGAAGGCGAGAAAATTAATGTAGAATTAAAGATTTTTATATTTGTTTAGTAAAGTAGTTAAATGTGCAATTATAATATCACTTTAGTAGAGTATTTAGTTCTTTAGTCCTAATCTTAAGTGTTGATGGTAAAATTTAGAGAGTTGATAATATTTGAATTTGATCAAACTTTTGTCATATTTTTTGAACATGTGACATTTTCTCGCTTGTCTTGAGTCCGATAGGAAAGTTAAGTCATCTTGATAGATGGCTTGAATTTTGTTTCAAGATGAAATGAACCTTAGACTTAAATTTTTTTCTTAAATAAAAAGTCTACACAATTAGGCAAACATACATTCTAAAAGAGTGATGAAACAAAAATTTTATATCTTAATTGATTGTTATGTTTGGAGTAACTCATCTCATTATTTATACACTGTAAGATTTAATTGAAGTCCAGTTCTATTTGGCTAGTATGTCAAATGGGAATACAAAGGGTGATCCCACATTGATGAGCCTAATATGTCATGTTATTCTAGAGGCCTAATTTGGTGTCACGTGTTAAATAATATGGTGTGTTAAGTTAATCGAAAGAAGTTAATGTAAACATGTAACAAGTCAAAATGACATGACATGGCTAGTCAAATCAAAGATCAATAAAAATGTGTCACATGTGCATAACTGACATGTTCCAACCAATCAAATATCGACAAGTCACTTAAATTTGATTGACTGAGGGAAGAGTGTCTTCATCCCTACTCTTTCAATCAACAATTGTAAATAAGAATCCTCATAATCCAAAAAAAGACACCAGAATTCTATGAAGAAGCTAAAGAAAGGCTCTATTTGCTACCACGTGTCAAATGACATAGCATACTAGGTTAAACTTGTAGCTTTTTGAGAAATCTACAGTGATTAATTCACGAGCTCTTTTTAGCTTTTAATTAGAATTCTTGTGTATTTTTTAAATTATGAGAATTCCTATTTATAGGTGTAGAATGTAAGAGTTGTGATGAGGAAGTGTTTTTTGTGTTCAATCATATGTAAGTGAAATGACAATGTTAAATAGGTTGGGATGTGTCATTTGTGCACATGTGGCACATTTTTATTGGTATTTCGATTTGGCTAGGGTGACATGTCATTTGACGTGTGACATGATCTTGTTGGTTTCTTCTTTCAACTTAGCAAGCCACATTATTTGACACATAATATCAAATTGAGTCTCTAAAATAAGATGACACATTAGGCTTAACTATGTGGGCTCATCATTTATGATCAAGTTGACGGATTAACCCAATGAAATTAGACTCAATTAAATTCACATTATTAGACTTATTAATAAATCAAATTATATTATGAGAGAATTATCTAACTACACATCTTTGTTTACTTCGTTTTCTATTATTTCCTAACATTCTAAGAAATTACAAAAATCCCTCTAATCCACAATTTCTATCACTTTTTTTGATATATCACTGTAAATTAACAACTCAAGATTTGGTTTCTTTTTTCACGCTTAAAATCATTCTATGATATCACCAATTGTCTTATCACTCTATTTATGAGTTTCAATTTTTTTTCTCTTTCAAGATTTATGATTGCAAGTTATTGAAGAGGTGGTTCTTCTTCCTTTTCTACTTCATTCACTTTTTTCTTTTCACTTCATTGGGTATCGAATTTTATATAATTTTCTTTAGCTTTTTCATCTACAAATTTAATCGAAAAATGATGTGTCTTCAATTTCAAAATTGATTGTGAATAAAAGGTCCAAAAAAGGCCAAAATGTTGAAATATTGGTGGCTCCACTAAGAACTTTGGGGCGAAATGCATGGGTGATGACATTGTTGAAAGTGGAAAAAAAAGGTACAAAAAATAATGTAGAGCAAAAGATTCTTTTTTTACTTTCATTAGATTAGATGTTGACATTTTTTTGTTCATCTTTTTCTAATACATATGGGTTTAGTTTTTAAATGTATCTAGCTAGTTATTTTTGTTTCTTAAAATAATGTATAATGTATTTGTTTTAACATGAAAAAAACAGTACAATTTTATCAAGAGTTATTGGTGGCTTTGGTAAGGATTTTGGATCGTGATCCATGAGTAACGTCATTGTTCAAAGTGAAAAAAAAGCTACAATAGTTGATGCAGAGCAAAGGAGAAAGTGCAGAAGGATTATTTTTTAATTTTTTTGTTTTTAGCATATCAAATTATTAAAAGAAAATTTAATTTTTTGTTGCTTTCACTAGATCTTTAAGTTTATTTTGATTCTTAAATTAATGTGCAATTCATTCGTTCCACCTTTATGATATATTTCAATCTTATCATGTACAATACATCATTTTTAAATATTAATTTTGATACATAACCTTAATTTATTGAAACACAAATTAGTATGTATCATGTTCATAGTTACGTATTAGATCCACAACTATTATAAATTTCATTGTCTTTTATTACTGACACATACACTTAGCCTTATTCAACTATTAGAAGACTATATATCTATAGACACTATTCAAATATTACCACTTATACATAAATACTAATATTTTATAACAAAATCAATTTGTATCATACTCATAGTCGTGCATATGACATATAACAAAGTTATGTATATAACATATAGTTATGTATCAGATGTTGTTAAGTATCTTCAACAATGTTTTATAAATAAATAATTGTATATCATATTCATAGTTTTTTATATGATACATAACTATATAAAATTATCGATTTTTTTTTAATTTGTTACTATTTGGGAGAGATTTGAGAGAAGAAATTTTAAGTTTTGAATTGTTTGGAGCTGTTATTTGGAAGAGATTGACATCAATTTGACTTGCATGATTTGGGGAATCGACATTTAATTTTATATTTAATTTCATTTTTAATCTCAACAAGCCAAAGTGTATAGTGTATCAAATGTGGTGTATCCAGACGAATCAAATGTATCTAGTTGACAACGATTTCAATTGATTTTTTTAAATTGAAAAAGAATAGAAAAAATATGTAATTTGCTCCTTACACTATGGAATTCCTAAAAATTTTACGACGTATATACTAATTTTTGATAATGTGCATTGCACACTTATCTAAAATGCTTAATATAAATTTTGTGTTATAAGTAATATGTTTTATATGATACATATATTATTAACTTAATTTCTTTATGCTATAAAATAAAAATCAAGAACAAAAAAAGTTGTGTAAGTTGAGGTTGGTAATCTTGCGAACTTGGTGTTATATTAAATCAAACACATGAATATCATAAAAGAATAGAAAAGAAAGAGAAGAAATGATTAAATAGTAATCTAGTTATTGCAATGCATAAAAATGAAAAAGCCCAAATACATACGTAGGTCCCTAAAGTTTTTCAATTTTTTTTCCCCAGGTACCTCAACTAAACCATATTCCTATTGAATCCTTGAACCCCAAATAATTTGTTCCTTTTAAATATTATTGGCTGATGTGGAGCCAAATTTTAACAAATTATTTTTGGTAATTGGACGCGTGAGATGAACCTTCCCCACGTGGAAATTTCGATCAATATACTTCAACCCAATTGCACGTTAATGCCACATATTAAATCCTCAAACCTAAAAGCCAATTTCCCCCCAAAACACTTCTAACCCGATTCTAGACGAGAAAACCCTGAGAATCGCTCTCTTTCAATGAATTTTAGATCTGAAATTCTTAGATTTTAAAGTGATTTCGAGTATTTTGTTACAAAAATCATTGAAGATCGCAGACGATTTTAGAGTTTAATCACGATTTTCGAGTTGACGAGTGTTAGGTAAGTTCATTCCCTAATTTCTATGTAATTTTTATTGTGGTGTGTTGTTAATATATGTGTTTGGCCTGTGTTGATATATACTGGTTTTTAGTATTAATGTGGTTGTTGTTAATATCTGATAAAGTTAAGATTTTTTTGTTTTTATTGTTCATTACGTGTCAGAAAATTTTGGGGCCTTGGAAATCTTATGGATGCCATTATTATAACTCGTTTTCATCATGGTGGAAAGTTTATTCAGGACAAAAATGGAATTACTTATAAAGGGAAAAACAAGGTGGAATATGTTAATATTGACAAGGATCACTTCTCAATAATCGAGTTACTTTTTTACACTAAATAATTGGGATATATTACTGTTGGTTTGTTCTGTGTTAAATACCCCACAAAAAATGGCTTTATTGAGGTGGACACTAATTTCACTTTACTAAATCTTATCAAAGACATAAAGGATGGTGACTTTTTAGATCTTTATGTGAAGCATGTGGTGAATGATGTAGGAATGTTCACAACTGATTTGCTTTATGGGTCTGTAGTTGAAGAAGACTTAATAAAATATAAATATGACTGCAAGTGAAGGACTGAATCATGAGGCTGAATCTGAAAATGTTAATGTGGAAGTTGAGTCAGGGATATATCAATTCTAAAAGTGGAATGGACTGAATCAAATCAAGAAAGCAGTGATAGCTCTCAAGAGGATGTTATTCCTGATGTGGATGACTCTGAGGTTGATAAAGAATTGAGATCTCTTAGAAATGAAAGGAGAAACAAAGTGAAAAAAAAATCTAATCAAACTGAGAAAATAAAGCTTGGAACAACTGGTATTGATAGAGGCTTTGAAGATATAGGAAGGAATAAGGCTGCTAGATATACTGGAAGATTAGGGGGTGATGAGCAATATATAGATAGCTCAGAATTGGAAAGTGAAGACAACAGGGATGAATTGGATCCAGAATTTGTGGAGGGTGTTGATTTACCAAGAAGAAGAAAAAATAAAAAAGTAAGATTTGATCCTGATTGTGTTCTAGGAATTTTTGAGCTTGATATGATATTTGAAGGTGTTGAACAATTTAAAAAAATTGTTGCAGACTATTCTTATGAATATAAAACTAGGTTAAAGTTGAAGCCTAATGACAAAAAAAGAGTTAGAGCTAGATGTTGTTTGCTAGTATAGATAAGGATTCTGGTGATTTTATTGTCAAAAATTATTATCCTATGTATGTATGTCATCAATCAACCAAGAACAAGTTGTGTACATCTAAATTTATTGCAGAAAAGTTCAAGGATGAAATTATATGTCAACCATATATAAGATTTTGAAAAATTCAGGAATTGGTGAGAAAAAAATTTAGGTTGTATGCTGGAAGAACTATTTGTCATAGGGCAAAAAAGAGGATTATCAAAAAGTTCATAGGTGATTAGAAGATGAAATTTTCAAGATTGGGTGATTATGCAGACATGATTAAACATACTAATTCTTGTACTTCCTGTTGGGTAAGGACAGATAGAGAGTCTCAGCCAGGAAAAACTTTGTTTGTTTACTTCTGTGTTTGCTTTGATGCATTGAAGAGGGGTTGGTTGGAAGGATGAAGAAAAGTTATTGGTTATGATGGATGCTTTATAAAGGGTTCTTTCAAGGGAGAATTGTTGATTGTTGTTGGTAAAAATAAAAATCAACAGATGTTTCCAATCGCATGGGATGTTGTTGACACAGAGACAAAACACAGTTGGAGTTTTTTCTCAAGTACTTGATAGAAGATTTGAACTTAGGCACAGGACATGGACTGATTGTTATGTCAGATATGCAGAAGGTTAGATAATTTTTCTATTGTAGCTTGATCTTTTATTTTTTTATTTTCTTGTGTTGCTAATACGTTTTAATGTTTGTGCTACAACTGTTTACATAGGGCCTTGTACCAGCTTTATGTGAGTTGCTACCAGATAGTGAGTAGAGAAGGTGTGCTAGACATATCTGGTTCAACTGAAATAAATTATGGAGTGGTGAAGAAAGAAGAAAACAAATCTGGAGATGTGCTAAGTCAAGTTTTGAAGTGCAATTTGAAGATGAGATGGATAAACTCAACAAATTAGGTAATAAAATTTGTGAGGACTTGTTGCATTATGAAAAAAACTACTTCGTGCAAAGCATATTATAAAGAGCATTCTAAGTGTGACATTGTTAAAAACAATATGTGTGAAACTTTTAATTCTTTGATACTAGCTGCTAGACATAAGGCTATCATAATTATGTTAGAGGAGATTAGGCACAAAATAATGGATAGAAATATTGCAATGAGACAATTTGCTAAAACTTGGATCGCAGATTTCTCTCCTATGGCTAGATTAGTACTTGAAGAGAACAAAGATCTTGCTAGATTTTTTGAAGTTAGACTCAATGGTGATATTGGGTATGAAACCTTAGATGGTCAGTACAGGCATATTGTTGATATAAGAAAGAAGACATGTACAAGTAGAACATGGCAATTGAGGGGCATACCATGTCAACATGTTGTGCTTGTATATCAGCACATAGGCATAAAACCTGAACATGAAGTGGTACATTGATAGGAAAGAGACTTTTTTGAAGGCTTATAACCATTTTCTACAGCCAATACCAAACATGAAAATGTGGCCTCACACTAGTGGTGTAGTGATAGAACCTCCTGAACCAAAAGTCATGTCTGATAGGCCACAAAAGTGCAGAAGAAAGGCAAAGAATGAGCCTAGGAAAAAGTATGAAAAGTTGTCCAAAAGAGGAGTAAAAATGACCTGCTCCCTGTGTCATCAAGTAGGCCACAACAAAAAAGCTTGTCCAATATCGGTAAGTTATTATTCTCTTCTAATACATCTATAATAAGCTTCAATTATTTACAATAATCAATTATTATTACTGTATTAATAGGCTGGGATGGACAACCTGGAGGCTACCCAAACAGGCAACCAAGCTCAAGCCAGCACCAATGTTTAGCCAACCATCAAGCTCAAGCCAGCCACCATTGTTTAGCCAACCATCAAGCTCAAGCCAGCCACTACTTTTTAGTAGACCATCAAGCTCAAGTCATCCACCAGTGTTTATCCAACCATCAAGCTCAAGCAAGCCACCACTTTTTAGTAGACCATCAAGCTCAAGTCAGCCACCAGTATTCAATCATCAAGGCAGTTTTATATGTGTTTGATTCTTCAGTTGTTAGAAGAAAGCAACAACCTGCTAAAAGCAGAGGCACATGAAGAGGCACTGGGAGAAGCATTGGCAGAGGAACTGAAAGAGGCACTGATAGAGGCACTGGGAGAGGTACTGGCAGAGGAACTGGAAGAGGCACTGGTAGAGGGAATGGAGGTGTATCAAGTTAGCAACCTGATCAACCAAGGGTTGTAGAAGCTTCAATATCAACAGGAAGATAAAAGAGGACCAAGACTATAGGATTTGGCATCTATACAAATGCAAGTGGTAGTCAAACCTTTAATGTAAGTGTATACATAATTTTGTTCATTTCTTGCTCTACTATATAAAGTCTCGTTCTAAGACATTTCTATGCAGCCTGGTACTTCAGGAGAAAGAGCTATCAATCTGAGAGGTTATAAGGATACATCTCCAATAAATATTGATATTGATTATAAGCCTCGAGAACTCAAGTGGAATGTTAAAGATGTTGTCACAGGTTCACAGTTGCAACGAATCACTCAGTCAAGAAAAAACAAACGTGGAACATCTAGTGCACCAAAGAATGCCTAATTTTTGTAGAAAAGTCATTTTTTGGTTGTGTAATCAGCAGCAGAAGCTTGTATTGACTGCTTTGAAATGTCACTTCCTGGTTGTGTAATAAGCACCAAAACTTGTATTGACTGCTTTGAAATGTCTTTTGGTGTTTTTAAGTACATTAACTTATGTTTGATTGAAGCTCACTAAAGCAAATTAATGATATGAATGATCAATTTTTACTGCTTGTGATGCACAAATTATCTTCATTCCTTTAATTAAATCATTACAATAAAAACACAAGGCATTTACAATAGAAAAATCGATCAAAATTGTCCTCATAAAGAACACTACAATCTACCATACATACTTTTATGAAGTAATTTAGTAGAAGAGAAATGAAACAACTAAGATCGTTTTGTTACACAAATCCAAGTAGTCAATATCACCCCTACGACAATGCATATCATCCAAACTTTTCTTGATCGATTCCTCTCCAATTCATATATTTTGACTTTTTTCAACAAACCTCATATCACCCTCCTAGCTTGAGCCAGCATTTCATCATCATACCATCGGAAATATTCACATCCACCTCGTGCCTACAAAATTAAAGAAAAAGTTGAATCACAAATAAGGCGATTCTTTACTATATTGAACAAAAAATGAATTTGAATTACCTTTGAAGTTTTGCAACAAAAGAACCTACATCAAGGATTGGATTGCGTCCATGAGGTTCATTTCCACAATGTTCCCACATTGACATAGCACATTTGCAGTTGAAGAAGAAGAAATCAATGAAGAAGATAAATTTGACATTGGAACTTGATGATTAAGAAGAAATCAATGAAAAAGAGACATAATATAGTGAGCTAAAGAGGAGAAATAATGATGAAGAGAAACAAAAGAGGAGAAATAAGAGAAGAATGGGAGAAATTAGAGTTAAAAGGGGGAAGAAGACTGTTGGTGGGTGGTTCAAGATCCACATCAGCGCTTAAAGGACATGAGATTACGTTTGGCTACACATCAGCCAAGAATACTTAAAAGGATCAAATTATTGGGGGTTCAAGGATTCAATAAGAACCTGCGTATGTATTTGGTCAAATAAAAAATATAAAATCGGACATGAAAATATTAATATTTCAATTGAAACCTAAATATATATTACATATATAAAAAGAATAAGCTACAAATTGCTATGATTCACAAAGTATATAAAACTGAAGATGGAGTAGAAGAAGCGAATTCAAGAAAACCAGGTTATGAAGATTATATTATAGTAAGTATAATAATAATAAGGAAAAATGGTATATAATATCAAACTATAATTCAAATTAAGTTCTATAACTATATATTTTGATTTAATTGTACTATATAGCAAATTATTATTATTTTCGCCTCTCTCCCTGGTGGAATCTCACTCGCCACTCTCGTTTGGTGGCAGTCTCGCTCGCCTCTCTCGCTTTTACACAAACACAAATGTATAAAATATGTTTGTGTTTGTATAAAGAGACAGAAAATTGTATATATACATATATTTTCGTTCCCCTCTCCCCCCTATCCTAGATCTCGCTCGCCACTCTCCCATTTCTCGCACTCCACCCTCGCCTCTCTCACTTATGCAAACAAAAACGGAATGTGTAAATTGTGTTTCTATTTGTATAAAGCGAGAGAGAATTGTATGTACGCATGCAAATACATATATCTTCGTCCTATACACTTATGATTATACAATACAGATACTCCCCTGCCCAATTTTCTTTTGTCTTTCTCTCTTTCTCGTTTTATACATACACAAATTATACAATTGATCTTTTGTATACAACTAATTTTTTTTGTATATGTATAGCGAATTATACAACTATTTTTTTTGTATATGTGTAGTGAGATATACATATTTATGTTTGTTGTGGAGCGCAATAATGCAAAGTATAGTTATAACATACAAATATGATTTTTGTGTTTGCTATATGTGAAAGTTATTCTAATAATTTCATAATATAACACTCCGGCCCGATCGTTATGAGTAGGTCAGTAGGCCAATAGTGAAGAATTTGGCCAAAAAAATTTCGATAGTGACTTTTTTTTTTTGCTAGGTCAGTCTCAAACGAAATTTGGGCTAGGTGAGATCTAGAGCTATTCCAGGAACAGATTCGGTGTAATGTTGAGGCTTAGTTGACATATTTTTCTAGCCAAGACATTAAGAAATCCCAAAGGTTTCACAAAATTGAATTCTGATAATGGGGATACCATAGGGTTACACAAAACTAAATTCAGATAAGTAGAACTCCTAAAATTGATCTTGACATGAAAATGATATGTCGGAGACGTCAGAAAAAAAAATTATATTATTAAAAGATGACTTTTCTCGAATTTCGATTTGCAATACTTTCGCCTGGATCTGATTGTATAGGATAAGTTACACTTATAACTAATTAATCATAACAAACTAGTAACTAATTAATGGAAGTTTAACTTCCTAACTGATTACTTTCACTGTTTACACATATGAATATGGATAATTTGAGATTTTAGAGGAGGTAATATCTCATGTGGTCACTCAACTTTGGATACTTTACTTAGAAAATCACTTAACTTAGGTTTGTTCACTTAGGAAGTCACTCAATTTTGTTTTATAACTCAAAAGTCGCTAAATTATTCGTATTTCACTTAGAAAACCACTCAACTATTAATATTTCATTTATTTAGTCACTCAATCAACTTAAATATTTTTTCATTAAATTTTATTAAAATAAAATATCTATTTTAATTATCTTATTGACCAATTCTAATTATTTAATTATATTTTTCCTTTGGAAAACGTACCCTAGCGATTGACAAAAAAAAAGAAATTTTCTTTTCTATAACAGCAATTGTCCAACTTGAACTAATGCCGAAAAATTAGTTGTTTTTTTTCTTAAAAAAGATTGGAATCAAGAAGTTAAGAATCCAAAAAGAAAAAAAACAGTAGCAATCTTATTATTTCTTTAAAAAAAGGTTCAAAAAAATATATATTTTTAAAAAATTATTAAAATAATTAAGAGCGTCTTATTAGTTTTTAAAAATAGGTTCAAAACAAAAATTGTGTTTTAACAAAATTTAATTTAAAAACATTTAAATTAGTTGAGTACTTTTTATGTAAAATATCATATTTGTGTAACTTTCAATAAATACTTATAATTGAATGACTTTTGAGTTGTAAAACAAAGGTAAGTGACTTTTCAAGTTAACTATTTCTAAGTTGAGTGACTTTCTAAGATAACTATTGAAAGTTGAGTGATCATTTGAGATGGGGAAAAATGTTAAAAATATCCTTAACGTATTCGAAATGGTTCAAAAATGCTCTCCATCCATCTTTTTATTTAAAAATGTCGTCAACATTTTTTTAAGGTTTAAAATTATCCTTTTCTAACTCCCGGCTTGACATGACAAATGTGATATGGATTTTCTTTATCCATATCAAAATAGTCTAAAAACCCATTTCGAAAAATCTGAGCCAAATGTGACCCGTTAGACTGATCGTTTTTGGGTCTTTTTTTCTCACCTTCAATTCATCTGTTATCCATTCTCTAGTCAATTGCAGAGCATGGCTAAGAATGCATAGAAAATTTCCAAACTTCACAGTATTTCTATCCAAACTAAAGATTATATTTGTCTTCTTTCAATAGAATATGTGTACTAGAACTGGATTTTCACTTTCTTGCCATAGTCTTTGTTATTTGATTTGAGCATTTTTTTCTTATCACTTTTCACGACAATTTCGAACAGTTCTATAATGAAAAATTTTCAATGTCGACATGTTAATTCTGAGGATGCTCACAATTCCATGCACTTTTCCTCATAAATTTTGGGTTGAACCTACTTATGATCCGTTTCTTTCACCATTTATTGCATTCGACTCACTAACAGAGCCAACAATTCCAATAAGATGAAGTTATTTGTCTAATTTAATGATTTATTATTTGTCATGTCAGTTGGCTGTTAAAAAAGCACAATTTTAAACCTTAAAAGAACGTTGAGGACATGTTTAAACCAAAAGGTTAAAAGAGGGCATTTTTGAACCATTTAAAATATGTTATGGACATTTTTAACCCTTTTTCTTTTTAGATATCAACTCGATTTTGACATAATTACATATATGTGTGTCACACTAACCATTCATTAAAAAAAAATCAGTATTTTTTTTCTTCACACCTCTTTTTTTTCCTTTTTACACTGATTAATTCTTAAAAGGGTTAGGAAAATTTCATATATAACAAACATAATTTATTAAATAACATTATATGGGTGTAGTTTGCATAATTACATTATATTGATAAAGTTTAATTTGTTATGTATCTTTTAATTTGTATAAAATATCTTTTTTTAAAATTTATTTAATATTTTACTTTTTCATTGAATGGTAACAATATCGCTAAATAAGGTAACAAACATTTATACAATCCCATTATTTAAGCTAACCATTCAAAATCAAATATTTTCTCAATTATGTTTAAAAATAAGTCGTATGAAACACTTAGACGTTAATGATTTTATTTGTATATATATACATTGATTATATTGTATATATTTGAGAAATTGTAAATAATTTTTTATACAATTTCGTGTGTAATTTATTATGTATTATTAAATGTATGTGTGATCATCATAATATGAAAATTGTATATATGACAATCATGTTTTTTTTTAAAAAAAAATAAGTGTGTTTTATTTTTTCTTAATTATTTTTTGTAGTCTGTTTGTATACAATATTTTATTATGTTCATTTTTTTATAGTATATATCAATGGATTTGTATAATATACAATAATTTGGTATATGGATTATATTTGTATATATGCATAAGTAATTTCATGTTTTTTTAAAAAAACTTAATGGTTAAAACGATTGTATATTCATTTGTCAATTGTATATGTGGTAAGCTTGAAATATGTTTGTGTATTTAATGTGTAATGCTTATATATACAATATTTTATCATGTTCATAACTTTTTGTATATATCGACAAATTTGTATAATATACTATAATTTTATATATGAATTATACAATGATTAACAAATTTCTTTTATAGAAAACTAAATATTTGTATACAAATAACAATTGTCTCATAATACTTTGTATATATTACCTTAATACACAAATCACTATATACGTAACTTTATTAATTTATATATAAATTACACAATCTGATGTTTTTCAGATTTGTCTAGTTTTGTCCAATTTTAATGAGATAGATCCAATCTCGTCTGGATTTATGTTTATGACTTTTCTCTTGCTTCAACCTTCAACAATCTTAATGCCGCGAGATTTCGCGTTGTTGATGACTTTCTTGATTGTCATTGGGTCATTTTTTTCTTGAATTTCTATTCAAGATATTGTTCAACTTGTTTATGTTCTGTCATATACCCTACATTAACCCCAAAATCCTGAGATAACCCGATTGAAAACGAAGGTGGATTATCAACATTATTGACATGCAATGACATACCTCTGGTAATCCTCATATATAGAGATGAATCCTTATTCTCATTTTGAAGAACTTTAAACTGATAAGAAAGAAAGAATTTTTTTTTAAAAAAATGAAAGAACTAAGAAACATAATACATATATAATTATGTTGATGAAAGAAAAAAATAAAAAAAAGATTGGAATAATGAAAGTAAGACAACAGGGATATCGTGAAATTTTTCAAAATTCAAAATAGGAGTGGAGGAGTGATTTTAGGAGAAAGATATGGAATGAATATAGGAGAGATAAAATTGATTTGATAAAATTATATATAAAAAGATAAAAAAATCTTTTATAGTTGGGTATACAGGTGGTAGGTCCCATTAATTATGGCAAAAAAAATGAAACTATAGTTATTGAGAGTAAATAAATTAAACTATACCCTTATTGACTAATTATTTAGGGATGTTTGTCATTCCACGTAATTTTTCCTTCTTAAAACATATCTACTTAACGCTCCTATATATATAAACAAGAACATTAAAGTTACCATCACAAATAGTAATATATATTTTTATAAATAGTTGTTTAATAGATTGTTCAAATTTTCATTTCCATTAGAGATCCAATGAACAAATAAAACTGGCTCTCTCTAAATCATAAATTCACACCATCATCTTTCTTTTCCATTCTTTATCTCCCTCTTGCTTGGAGCACTGTCAATGACATCCTCACCAAATACCTCTTTTGAAATTGGCATTAGAATTAATATTATGAAGTACTGGTGTATAAAATCGAATTAAAAACTGAATTAAACAGTAAATTAAGTCAAACTAAAGAAAAAAAATTTGACTAGTTTTGTTTTGACTTGATTTAGTATTGATTTTTTTTTACTATGCTCGAATTTGTTTGGTTTTAACTAAAAAAGATCAATCCGAGATCAAATTAACTTAGCATTATATATATATATATAATTTTAAAATTTATTTTATATATATTATATTAAATATTTATTTGGATAAAATTTCTAAATTTCTTATACTTCATAGTTTTTATATATTAACATATTATTTGAAGTTTGAAACTTAGAATTTTGAATTACCCAATAGAGATTATAGTCTACAGATACTAATAACTCAAATAAAGCTCAAATCAAAATCAAATGAATAGTAATGCTTAAAAAATCAACTCAACACTAATGTTGAATATATTTTTTTAGTTTTACATTGGTTTAGAAAATCAAAATACATAATTAAATTTTAATTTTTCTTTAATATTTAGTCATTTAATTAATACTTAGTAGACTTATTTTAGCACGATTTAGTATTTTTATATTGTATTTATTTTCATTATGACTTATTAATTTGTTATATTTATTTTACGTGATTTTATTATTATTTTTCGTTGAATATTTTAGTGTTCGTCGCTCATTTCATATTTTATGTTCTTTTGTTAAGAAATAGTCTGAATAATTATATTTTTGTAGAATTAAAGAAATATTTAAAGCACAAGTTAATCATACTATATTTATATAATTACTTTATCGGAATAATCTAAAAAGAAAAAACACAACAAAAGTGATCCTAATAAATAAAAAAGTTCTTTCCCCATACATTGGATAAGTTAAATGCATGGATGCATCATCTAACTCTTTTCACCCCACAAGTGAAAATCCTCATCATCTCTTCACTCCTACATGTGCTTTTGGACATTATTGTATGAGTAAAGGTTTTATAGTTTGTTTTATTGTTCAATTATGTGATCTCATCCCAACTTTACATCTTATTATAGGTCACTACAAAAAAAGTAAAAAAGTATAGGCCTCAATCAAAATTATTTCCCCATAAATGAAAAGAGAACAAAGTCATATTGGGATTATTGTACTCATTTTTTTTTTCTAGAGGCATTCATATTCCCAGTATTTTGGATTATTGCAGATCTTTTTCCTATCAGAAAATGTAGTGGAAAGCATGCTTTGAAGTGGTACATCCGTTACTAGAAATGATGGGGTTTTTTTAATCGCGAATCAATAAAAAAATTTAATTTAAAATATTGATTTTTCAATTCATTTTCTATTGAAGTAGCTTGTTCAAATATTTTTTCACTAAAATACTGGAGAACACTTCAAAAAAATTTGTATGAAAATATATTATATTTTTTTGTCATTAGTTCAATTAAAATATTTATAAAAATAACTACTAAACAATTTTTGTAGGAAATTTCAGTTAAAAAATAGTGATGTTGCTAAGAAAAGAAAGTTTAGTATGATGCATACCACGTAGATTCTTTTAGGTATAGTGCAAAAGATGTATATACATGCTACGTAATATGTCATACACAAATATATAAAGTTTGGAATGAAATTTTATTTAGACACATTAATTAAAATTTGTATTATTTAAATAATTATAGAGTAGTAGAAATTATCGTGTTATTTTGATACTTTTTATTGATTCAACTAAATATATGGATGTGCGGGCGTTCACAAATCGATTATTAATCAAAATCAAACTAATTTAATTGATTTCAAAATTATAATTTTAAAGTCAAATATAAGTATATATTTATTGATTTAGTTGTTATTAATTTTGATTAGTTATTAACCATACACACACACACAAAAAAAAAACTAAATCAAAAGGGAAAAAAGACAACAGTTCATTCAAAATAAAAAATAATTAAAACGAATTATGTCACGTAACTTATGAATTTCAATCAATAAACTTACTATTAAAAGAAGTTTTAAACTTCACTATTTTTACCTAAACGAAAAAAGAGACAATGACATTCCTAATAGCGATTGTCATAAAACATTAACACAATGTTTGGATTATTATAATCTATCGTATTGTATTATATCGTTATCATACCTACAATGTTTGTTTTGATTGTTAATTAAAATGTATTGTATTGTATTATTATATTTCGTTGTTACTTAATAATGAGAACTCTTATTTTATGCAACAATCAATTTTGTGTATTCCATTATTACTTAATTTCTTTTTTCAATTATATCTTTTTATAATATTTCAAAATACAATTTTATCCTATACCTTAATTATTTAAATCTAATTAAACCTTTTATCTTAAAATAATTAAAGATATTTTAATAAATTTATAAATTATACTACTGTATGATATGATCAAATCAAACAATTAAAATATTATTAAATAATAACAAATAATATAATCTACTTAAACATTATACTTATCGTATAATACAATATAATATAATATATTATAAAATAATAAATAATAATGATTTAAACAAAGCGTGAGTTGGGGTTAAAAGAGGGGGCCGCCGAAGAAGACGAAGTGGGAGGTGGGCGACTTTTTCTTTTATTTATGGGGCTAAAATCCAAAAAAAACAAATAATAATAATTTAGAAAAACTATTTTTTATTTTTCACGTGGGTGGGTGAATCATGCATTTTACAAGTCAACGAAACTCTATTAATATTTTTGTTAGCATAATCTTCGGGTATTATTTGTTATAATTTTTATTTTTAAAGTTAAATAATAAATTTTTTAATTAATATTTTAAAATATATTTTTCATATAATTTTATAATATTTAATTTTTTAATTTAAAATATTAAATTAATATAATTTAATTTAACTTTAAAAATTAATCAAATTAACTTTTAAAAAACATTATATGATAAACAACATCGAACGGATAAAGTATTGATTATCAAAGCCCAAAAATATATTCAGATGGTACAGATTTTTCTGTCTTTGATGAAATTTTATTTTTGAACTTGAGTTATGAGAGTGAATAAATAAGTGCCCACACAATATTTTTTATAAGTAATATCACTATTTAATAATAAATAATGTTTAAAATAATATTACATTAATAAAAAAGTTTATTATTTAAAAGTTAAAAATAAAAAATAATGCCAAGGCAAGAGTGTCATTTTTATTATTTTTACTAATGTGTTGGTCTTTTTCCAGATATATATTTGTCCAGGAAGCACAACAAAAGAATAGTAATAGGCAGAAGCAGTGGTAAGAAGGCCTATCTCAAGTGAAATAAATAACAATAGCATTCAGTTGTTTTCACAACGGGCAACAACCCTGATTTTGCCAACTGAGTCTGCGAGTTCTAATGTTTTTTTTTGTTGGGACCAAACAGTAGCATTTGACTTTGGAAAAGAGAATCGATCGCTTACCTTGTTTCGCATGCTAGAAGCATTTCGCCATGATTCTCATTGATTGAGTCGATCCAGAGACAAAGTAAAGGGAGTTCCGTGGGTTTAGTTAGCTTAGAGGCAGAAGGCCTAGAAGTCTTTTTACATATATATATATATATATATATATATATATATAATATTAAAATTTTTTTTGACGAAGTCATGTTGGATGACACTCCTTGGGCTTGGCAAAGGGTGGTTTTGCCCCCATTTGGAGAGATCTGTTCGTGGTCCCTTTTTTAGGCCTCATTTGTTTCCATTAATATTAAAATGTCTGAATCTAAATATATATCTGAATAAATATTTTAATATTAATATGTTGTCTTTGAAGCTGAGCATTGAATTATAAAGACTATTTGTTTTCAATGTGCAAATGAAATCAAATGTTATATCAATAAAATATTATAAAAATCTCATTTTAGTAAAACATTGTCTTTAAAAAGAAAATAATATTTTGAACACTTTTATCATAACAAGGTGATATGATTTATCTTTTAAGAATTTAACATTTACATCATTAATATGACTATTATTTCCACTCAAAAACTTTTAGAATCTAATATAATGCAATGTAAAATAGTTTATTTAGAATAGTAATATAATGTTCATAAAAATATTTTATTTTATAATACACATTTGTTGTTGTTATCGATCAAATAATTAATACTTTTAATATTTTCTGGAATCGTGCTAAATATTATATCATAGATTGCTTATCAATTCAAATATATTGATTAATTTATGATAATAAAAGGCATGTATTGAGTTAACAAGAATAAAGAAAATTATAATGGTGAGCATGTAATTGTAACGACCTGTTAGTCATTTTGAGCCGCAGATTTTATTTCTGGAAAAACTGTCTTGGTCGACGGATCCCACGACGGACCTTCATGGGCACGACGGACCGTCGAGGGGGTCTCGTTCCAAAACACTTAGAATTCTGAAATTTGGGTACTGAAATCGACTCTCTGAACTTCGTGACAACATAGCAGGACGGACCGTCGTGGGAACGACGGACCGTCACAGACTCTTCAAGGAATTGAGTCTCTGAACTCTGTGACGGAAGCAGCAGGACGGACCGTCGCAGGCACGAAGGACCTTCACAGACTGCGTAATCCCAGGCTGGGTCGGATTTCTGTTAAATGTTTTAAGGGGCGTTTTGGACTATTCCTGCTTATAATTATAAAGTTAGTGGTTGAATATTAATAATCCAATTCCTTGAGGGTTAAAAGAGATAACCTTGAATTAATTAATGGGTTAATTCATCATCTTTTATACTTAATTATATGCTAATTAGGGTAAAAGAAAGAGGGTTGAATAAGAAAAATAGAAAGAACAA